TAGAATTCATTCTTATTATACTCCTTATCCATTCTCTACTCTTATCAAACACACGTTTATAAATTCCTACATCTGTATCTTTCTTCCAATCTTTTCCTTAGATCTTAGTTTTTTGCAACTCCCTCAGTTTTGCTGCATTGCTTTTGTTCTGACCTACTCTCCTCGTTTCCCAAACTTCCTCACTCAGCTCTGGTTTTCTACTATTGGGGGTTGCAAGGCAGCAAAGCTCTTCAATAGAGAGATTTTTTGTTTTGTTTTTCGTATCTTTCATCCTTTACTAGAATCAGCCTGGATCAGAGAACGTTCATGTTTTTAAGTCAAGACTCAAGACCCATCTTTTTAGGTTAGCTTTTATCTAAATATTTTCTACAGTTTTATTTCTCGTTTTACATGATTATATTTTATTACTTGCTTTGCATGTTCTATATGATTATATTTTAGCACAGTTTTATTATTTAAATTATTATTTTACTGTCTATATCATTTTATTTATTACTTATTTTCTAATTTTTGTCATTTATATTAACTCTTTTATTACATTTTACTCATTTTAATCCAGTATTTCCTCTGTAGGGGCCCTCTGCCCCGGGAGCGGTGGTCGACTGTAGCTTCCTGGGCGCTCTATAGGTGGGGGTCTATGCTCCCCCTCCACTGAGCGCCCTGACTTAGTGTGGAAGACCTGATTCTGCCGGGACAGACGGCTCCTCTGATGGCGTTTCCTTGTGTTACCATACTTGGCTCATCTGGACTCAGCCTAATATAATTTTTACTTGTGTGTGTGTGTGAGTCTGTGTGTGTGTGTGTGCGTGTGCTTGTATATGTCTGTTAATGTTTTTAACCTGTTATGGGAATCTGGGGTCATTTTGTAAAGCACTTTGAATCACACTTTGTTTGAAAAGCGCTTTATAAATAAATTTGATTAATTGATTGATTGATTGATTGATTGATTGATTGATTGATTGATAGTTGTCAGGGTCAACCATAATCACTAGCAGAAGAAAGTTCAAGAAAAATCGGGGCTTTTTTTTATTTTCTTTTTTTTTAACTAAACTTTGCTCATGAAATATTGCACACCAGGAGTCCATGAATAGTAAAATGTTTATCATCATTATTTTATATTTTGTAAAGTTACATGAGATCCAAAGGTTGTGGCCAACCCACCTGTCTAATCCACCAAACTGTGTGACATCATCTTTGTACTTGACACACACGGAATAAAATCACAGTTAATATAGAAGTGTGTTAGCTTGATGATTCATCAATGGGTACATTTTTATCATTTAAACTTTGCAACAACATAGAAACATTGGATGTGTCAAAAATACCAGCATACTTAGGTGGGCCCCATGTAGAATATATATGGGAAATCTGTATGGGTCCCAGGTGTTCCACAGGTGTTTTACCTGTACGTGTCCATGTATGAGTTATGCCATCTGGGTCCCGCTCAAAACTCGTGGGGCATGAAAAATCTAGTGTTCCAGAAGCACTACTCAGAGCAACATGGACTGATGCAGCTCGGCCCGACCACTGTTCCCAAGAGCACAGTTCAGTATTTTCCCTCAACTTCCTCCCCTATTTTCAGTTCCTACTCCATTGAGGTACCTGGCAAGGCTGAGTCGGGCCAGCATCGTGATTCTGGCCACTGATTGGCTAGAGGGCAGAGTCGCTGGTTGCTCTGGAGTTTTTTGCCTATACTGTTTCACTGCTCGCAGCCATTTCCTGGTTCAGAGTCTGACAATAAATCATAAAACTGAGCAAAATGTGCAGCAACACCACCATTGCTGTGCTGAGTGGAGCATACAGGGTACCTTGCACTGTTTACTGATCCCCTCGTGCTATTTTGTCATGAGTAAAAAATCAGATTATTTCTCACACCTGCTCATCCTTGTAATGAGCCATCAGCGCGCCTGTTCTCGTCTCCACTCACCTCCTCAGTCGTATTTAAACCCAGCTCGTTTTGGCTCCTTGTGTTTGTATTCTCATGTTTGCCTTGTGTTCCTGCTCTGGACCAAGCCTTAAAACACTTTTATTTTGAAAACTACCTGGCTAGGACATCCCTTCCCCTCACTGCATTTGCGTCCTACGACAACAACAACAACTCCATTCCATGACAATGTTAATGCTCCACAGCTTGTTTTTCTGTGTTGATGTATTTGTGGGACATCGGTATAGTGCCATGTATAGGGCTGACATAGTTCCTACAGCGTTTTGGGTTGTTTTAGCTTGGATGAAGATATTTCTAGAAACAGTACAGGGTTTATGAAGATTAGACACCCAAACAAAACAAACGCACCCCTCCCCCCATACCCTACCTCTATGGGTGGTTCTAGAACAAGGTTTTAAGCCCTGCCCGTAAATAAATCAGCCGAGTTAAGAGATGATGTCAAGTAGTTTTTGTCTTGTTACTGCATGTTCAGATGTTCATTTGTCTTTTATGTTTAGTTGCAATTATTCAATTGATCCTCAAAACGCCATGAGTGTGGGTGGGTGTGGTTAGATGGGCGGGACTTATGTCTTGATGTATTTGAGATTTGAGATAGAAACAAACAGAAATGCTGCCCAAAATCTGAATTCTACCAATGAAAACAGAGATCCCCGAGATCTTCCTTCTTTTAAATCAGTGTAATTTATTCAGCTTTGTGGTATACTTATTTTATATTCACATTTTATACATGCTGTACCTGAATTAAACCAAACCAGCTAAGTGTACGGCAAAACAAAAGCACCCAAATGTAAATTTAAAACAGTTAGTTTGTCGCAATCCCAAATGGCTTCCTTGGACTTATAACATATACAGTTTAGTTGCACCAGTGTGCTGATAGATGCTTCCTTGCCAGCCTTCACTAAACGATGCAGTTATTACTGAGTGGAATGTGGACACTCGGTCTTACCACAGCTGGGGTTTACACCACGCTTGGCTTCAGATCAGCACAACTCGGCTAGCACTAATGATAATGAAGCAAGTCGCCCACAGCAATTAATGTACTTAGCTAGTAATGATGATGAACTGTGGACTGTATTTGATTTAGGGAGGTGATAAGCTGCCTCTGAAAACAAACAGGTCAATTAGTATCACATCTCTGTGAAAGAGATTTAAGTAAAGAGCCGATCAATGCGTTTGGAGATGTAAACAGCTTTGTTTTGTCATCCAGATCCCTTCATCCCTGTGGGAGTGTGAAATTTTATCTTGGTTGTTTTGGGTTTTTTTAATGTGAGGAGGAACGGTGATGAAAATGTCAAATAAAGGAGCCGTCACTGTGAATCTCACATGCATAGAGAAAGCTTTCTTTCTCTACTGACGTGTCATCATTCCTTTTTTTTTTTTTTTGTCAGGTGAACTTTTTAAAAGCACTTTCTCTCTATGTCACCTAATTTCGTCATGGTTTGCACTTTGCCGGGAGCACGTGCGCTTCAGAGTGGTTTCACAGAAGTGATATAATGCAGATAAATAAACAGGAAGTGGGTTTATTTAGCTGATGTCTGACAGGGACTCTTTTAGGAAATCCATTTTCTTGTTGGCTGATTAATAAACTGCACATTTTACTAACATTGTACTGAATAAGAAGATATTTCAAAAACCTCTTTTGTAACTTGTGTAATGGCACTTGACCCTTCTGCAAAAACCTTTTATGATTTCATAGTCCTGGTTGCTATGGCGACCATCCCTGTAAAACCATATGGCGTATGTTAAACAGAGACACAATTTGAATTTAACACTGTTAAAGTGTCACATCTACGTACAAAGTGATCATTTCCTCATGTTAAATGTGTGTAATCATCCCTCTGCACCGGGCCTATATGTGGCCCACTGTCACATGATGTGCATGCACTTTGCCAACAGCTAAAATATTCAAAAGACATTTCATGCTCCGCTCTTTGAATGTAATGCTTTTTGGCCACATATTCATTTGGGTTCCAAAATGTTCCAACGAATAAATGCTGCTGGAGGTTCTTTGTAGCTGTGCAGAAGGGGAAAGGATTTAGGCAACCTTGAAACTCTTTCACACAATAACAATGTCTTAAGGCTGGCCACAACTATTCCTGACTGCATGACAAAGGTTTGATGTTGTGTGTTTGCAGCCGGAACACCAGCGGCTTCCAAGTGAAACCCTGTCTCCTATTAGCCGTGTTTCCACTATAAAGGTGAAGCTCACAAATGAGAATATGGAGCAGAAGTCTAGCCTTGCAAGCCATTTGTGTGAATATACAGTCTGGACACGGCCCATTGACGGCTCTCAGACTGGGGTGTGATCTACGGTCATCTTTCAAAATGGCTCTGCATACTATTAGATGTCAGTCAGCAGGGCAGTCTGCCATACTCCGTCAAATAAGATGCAAATATATCCTTTTTCTAAATAAACTCAGTACCTACCCCTGTTCAGGTATTCTTCTGGTTCCTGAAATTGCGCGGAAAATGTTCCTTTAAGGCCGGCATGGTGAAATAGTGAAATGGTGACATGCACACACCACGAATGTCCGCTGTTGGTGGCAACAGGCCGTATGTTAATAAGGAGTCACATTTAAAGGCTTCAAGTGTTTTATTTAATCAGATGTGTTTAGACATTTCATAATTTGGAAAGCCTTTTAAAGCATTAGTAACACATCATGCATTTGAAGAGCCATGCTGACATTATTTCCCAGAAGGCCGTTTTATATATAGGACCTTAAGACGAATTCTTTCTCATGATAATATGATAATGATGATGAGACAAATGCTTAGTTCAGAGTGTGAGGAAGTGTTTTAGAAACCTATTTGATATTGTTGTGCAGATAGTACAGAAAATTACATTTTTCCCATGATGCACCAGATTCTCATAAAACAGCTGAAATCCTTCCACTGCCTCAGGTAGTCAAATGATCATTGTCATATTTACCGACCTCACGGTCAATAAGCCGCCGTTCTCTGAGGCCAACGCATTTCTCTTCCTCCTATTGACCAGCTTCCTGTTGCCAAAGCTGATATTCTCCGCCTTATTCTCCATCTCTCCTCTTCTCCACAGCCATGTTGTTAGCTGATGGTGAGTTGTTCGTTCCTCCTCTGTGTGCATCCCTACTCACATCACTTTCTCAGTGTGGATTGGATTAGAAATAGCATGAAATCAAAACCGCCGCTTTCTTTGCTGCTAATAACGTTTCTGAGTCCGTTTCTAACTAATTAAACCCAACAAAGCTGCACATAAATTGTTTTTTAAACCACTGATGTTGTTTCACGCAGCTCTCTTTCTCAGGTGGTGATGATGGATTTTCTCTTAATCAGAGAAGTAATTAATCATACGTCCATATTTCACTCTGTCCAGTCATTATTATCCTAACACCCGATAAGTGTCAAGATAAAAACCTGCAGCTCTGAAATTGGAAATGTAATCGCCTGTGTGTAATTGTATTATTATTAAGTTCTCCTGCCTTGTCAAGGAAATTGTGTCATGTAGCGACACCGCACAGGGCAAGAGGACGGGGTAATCACATTTTTAAAATGAGCAAAAGAAGTCCTGCCAGGACTTGATGGTGCACACAGTTTGTGATATGTAATTGATTTGACTTTAAAGTGTGTGTGTGTGTGTGTGTGTGTGTGTGTGTGTGTGTGTGTGTGTGTGTGTGTGTGTGTGTGTGTGTGTGTGTGTGTGCGTGTGTGCGTGTGTGCGTGTGCGTGCGTGCGTGTGTGTGTGTTTGTGTGTGTCCAGGAGCTCATGTGCTGGTGCATTATGCATGTGTGTGAGAGCATGTGTGTGTGTGCTTGCAGATACGCCCTCCTATCGAGGGAACTTGGCTGCGATCCTTAATGGCAATGTTAATATTTAATGGTAAGCCTGCTGTCAGCAAAGAGCAGCAGGCATGGACTCTAGGCTCGTATAAAAGATGACAAGGTCTCTGCACCAGGTGGCTCAGTGGGGGTGTCACAAGAAGAGCAGGACGGGAGAAGTTTGGATCCACAACCAATCCTCCTTGATAAAGTCAGACAGAACAAAATTGATGTTGTTGAGCTCTTTGTAGTGTTCAGTGAACTCGAGAGGCTCCTCAAGACACGTCTGATAGGCAGCAGGAGGAAAACACAACAAACCCTAATGTGTGTTGACAGTCAGTCCGTGGCGTCTAAAGTTGAGCAGCTGAAGAACTAAATATCTTACATGAAATCACATTTTTCCTAGTTTTTCATAATGCACTTGCTCTGCTTTCATTTTAACGGAAGTATCAGGGCCATTGAAAAGAAATAAAATTCTGACTTTATTCTCTATGGAAGTCTGAGGAAAAAGTCAGATTTCTAAGAAAAAAGTTAGATTTATGACAAAAAGTAAGATTTTTGAGGAAAAAAAGTCAGAATTCTGAGATTTAAGTCAGAATGTCTTCTTTTGGTTTTGCTTTGTCTTTCACTTGTCAATAAGTCATATTTTTGGGAAAAAAAAAGTCACAATTGTTAGCTTGAAGTTGGAAATCTGAAATAAAATTCAGAATGTATTTTCTTTTTGTTCTTTTTTGGCCCTAATCCTCTTCCGTACATCACAAATAACAAAGGTCCACTCTGCCAAAAAAGGGTGGAGTTCTGTGAAAATGCCCCACAAGTTGGGATTGATCTTTGCTAATCTCCTGTATCACTTAGCTAAATGCAAATAGGTTGATGAAGGAATATTTTTGCATTCCTGCATAAAATTCACCAATATGTTCAGTTGCTTGAATGGGCTCAGTTGAACGAAATAACTGGCATCCAACAAAGCTGCCGAACCCAACGGCTCGTCCGCGCCCACCCAGGACAAACTTGCATCTCTGCTAGTGCTTCCCATGAAATGATTCATCCAAATTCCCTCTTTCAACAGAAACATAGAAAATCCTGCCAAACTCAACAACTAGATGCAGCAGAAATGCTGCTTGTGATATTTTCACTTAATAAAAAAAACCCTGTAATGAATGCATGAATGATTTCAAGTGCTTTATTTAAAGTAGGCAGGAATTAAAGTGAATCTTGCAGATTTTCCCGGATACAACTTAAACTGAGCTTTTCTTTTTCAGCCTGAGAACAATAAATAACTGATGCTAATGATATCTTGTGAAGTGTGCTGTGAAGTGTGGCTCAACATAATCATGATTCTTTTTATTCTGCACCCCCGCCACCCTGTCCATTCAGATGTTCCAGACAGGAAACTTTCCTCAGATGAGGCGGAAGCCAAGCGGATTGCAGAAATGGGGAAACCAGTCCTGGGGGAGCACCCCAGACTGGAGGTCATCATTGAAGAATCATATGAGTTTAAGGTGAGAAAAGCCACTTTTAACACAATTTAAACAATCTCTTTTATTTTAAGTGAAAGAATCTGAAGGTGCGTAAGCATGCAAGAAAATACTCTATTCCTGAGGCTATAATCGGGTTTCTGCTGCTTAGGACTGGATTACACTGCCACCATGTGGTGAAGCTCCAGTATGACTTCTGTGGATCACATCTGTGATAGAATGAAGACTAAATCTGTTGAATATGACTCTTACGTAGAGCACAGTGGACAAGCTGATCAAGAAGACCAACCTGGCTCTGGTGGTGGGAACAAACTCCTGGAGAGAGCAGTTCATGGAGGCTATCACAGTCAGTGCAGGTAATGTTTACGCTTCTATGGGACGCAGTTATGTGGTCGTGTGTGACACTCAGGAGGTAACAAGAAAGAAAACAGGTGTATCTTCCTGATAGCACCTGAAATGTTCATATGCATGTAATTATGTAAGTATTTGGGGGTTTCGTTTTTCCTGAGTGAACTTTCACCAAACGTGTTGATTCCATATTTTATTTTAGTGGCTGTAAAGAAGCAAAACATCTGCCGGTGTATTTTCATTCAGTGCTCCTTTGAAAGCGTTTGAAGCTTAGGAGTAATCTCACAGAGCCTACAGACAGCTTATCCATCACTCAGCAGCATCGGATCTCCGGCGGTGCAGCTGCACTCAAAGAGAGAAGCCTTGGTTTGTCACTTTGGTGCTGAAATATTTAATCAAGTGCTGCTCTTTACATTTTCATGATCTAGCCTTGGCTGAAAAATGCATGTGGCTCTCATGGCCTGACACTTTGAATCATGGCAGCGTCCCTGCTCCTCGCTGGGACACAGCTCCCTTGTGAATCTCTTGAATCTCATATAGTCTCAGTTTATTGGAGGATTGGAGCTTGGTGACTTGTTTCTTTGGCAGAATGCAAAATAGGCTCAAAATACATTATTTAATCTTGCTAATCATACTTTTTAACATCAATTATACAAAATGAAAACACATTTTCTACTTGTTGTAAAGTTTTGTTTAATTTGATTTCAGTTTTCTTCACATTTTCTTAACAAAGTTCAAATGAAAGTTTTCAGCTTTTTGAATTATTGACCCGTTGGTCTCATTTGTTACCCAACAAAAAAAGCAGCTGTTCTTCTGTGGTCTTTGGCAATGACAAAGTCTTCATCACACACTAAAAGCGGAATATGCATGAAGTAAAAACGATGTGATATTTAGAGGAATAAGAGAATATTCTGTCTTATGAGAGCTTTTCTCTTTTTTTCCTTCTGTAACCCCTCGTTTTCTTTGTTGTAATTCCCTCCTCTTGTCATCACTTGTTTCCTCTGTTCTGTCTCCTTCTGCCTTTTATTATTCACCGTCTCCTCTCCCCCCTTCTCCTTCATCTTTGGCCAACTATTCTCCTTTCTCTTGCTTTCCCATTTGTCCCCGTCCTCCCCCTTGGCTCCATTTCTGCCCTTCAGATGAGGACGAGGATGACACGGGAGAAGAACGGCTTCCTTCCTGCTTTGACTACGTCATGCACTTCCTCACCGTCTTCTGGAAGGTTCTGTTTGCCTGCGTTCCTCCCACCGACTACTTGAATGGTTGGGCCTGCTTCGCTGTCTCCATCATCATCATCGGTCTGCTCACAGCCGTCATCGGCGACCTGGCGTCCCACTTTGGCTGCACCATCGGCCTGAAGGACTCCGTCACCGCTGTGGTTTTTGTCGCGCTTGGCACTTCAGTCCCAGGTGAGCTCAGGAATAGCAGAGAGGAACCTGTAGATAAGGACGTGTCATTTTTAATACTTCAGTGGATGTTATTTATACACCTGTCCCCACACACTTTCTTATCTGGACCACAGGGCAAATGTGTTTGAGCTCAGACAGCCGTGTCATTATTATAAAGTGAAAATTAAATTTTTTTTTTACAAAGTTTTTTAATTATGACCACATTTGTTTTGGTGTAATGTCTGCCTTCGTCATAAGAGTTAAAGAGCAAGTGCACTGACTAATCTTTTTTTCTTGTTATTTTTTAAATATGATCAGTCACTCCGAGTTTTACGTGTAAGCTAAACATTAAAATAGTCGTCCACCCCATTTCCTGCATTAGCCGCCGATACTAAATAGATGAATTAGAAAAGCGAGGATTGAGGAAGGCTGTTGTTGGTTTAACATCCAGGAGAGAGCAGAACGCATCTTGACTAGTAGAAGCTAACTGTTAGCATTAGCAACTCCACAACATGGCAGAACTCCTCCAAGCTTGTGTTATTTGTGGAGATAAAACTTCAAAGTTGCATAGCAAACAGTCCGTGGTAGAGTTGCGTTGCTGTTACCCAATCAGAGGCGAGTTGTCCAAATACCAGGAAATAAGATTCTAAATTCTGCTGTCTGAAGCTCACCTCTGCTCTGGCTCACTTCTACTTCCTGAAACGGGAGTGCCAGAGCTTTTTTACCTTAGAGATTGACTCACAAGGCCTTCATTTATACTAGAGACTGCTGCAAATGTGTTTGAAAAACAAGTGAACTTGCTCTTTAATGTTGTTTCATAAAAAGTAGATCTCTCCATTTGAAGACATTTTTGGGATGTTGTCCATTTTTAAACAAGTGTTCACACTGCTTACTGTTAAATGTGTAGTTGAAGTTAGCCTCTTTGACTCTGATCTCCCAAAAATAAAACTCTCCCGTCCCATCACAGCTCCAGGGGATGCTGCTGCAGACAAAATATGGCTTCCCGCTCATTGTTTACATCGCTTTAAATTTTGAAAAATGCATTGATTTTTTGGAAAAACCCAGAATACATCTACTTTCTGCTTTGGATCCTGTAAAACAGGGATTCCCTAAGTGTGGTGCGCGCACCCCTGGGGGTGCGTGAGCTGCCGCTAGGGGGTGCGCGAGGTGAAAAGTGTAATGGCTGCGGAGCTCAAGAGAAGTCTGTCATATGTCACCATTAGCGTAGCCAGAAACTCATTTGTGGGTGGGCCTAAGAAAAAGTAAGTGGGCACAATAAATGTAATTGAAAACAAGTATATTTTGCGTGTGTGTGTATGTGTGTGTGTGTGTGTGTGTGTGTGTGTGTGTGTGTGTGTGTGTGTGTGTGTGTGTGTGTGTGTGTGTGTGTGTGCCCTAGCTTCATAATAATAATGCGCTCCGAGCTTCAGCACTCTGACCTGCGCACGCTGTAAATAGCAAGATATGTTCCGCACAGCGCGCTGAAGATCTGAAGTTCAGAGTGCGTCTGTCAGAGGTCAGACGCGTTCCAGCGGAACCACGGCTCACGGGTGCACATGTGAGCACATCTGGGCTGGGCAGAAGTAATTTTACAACATTGGTTTAAATAGCGCCAATAACGAGACGCGGTGACTGGAGCGGCTCATGGAGCTGTGCCACACACACACATACTGATTCGACAAGTGCACGCTGCGCTGCGCCACGCCACGCCGCGCCGTCAGACTGAAGGCAGAAATGAGCGCTGCCTCCTCCGTGATAAAAACTTTTAAGAGGTTTTATAACAACATTTTTCATTCAATGCCATATTAAGATATTAGCTTCTATTTTGGGATGACGTATTAAAATCGAGTCCGCTCCAGCCAGTGAATCCTCATGTACATGACCACAACTCATGTTACTGCAGCATTTGTTATTCCAGTCAGCGTGGCAGCGGATCGTAGATTCAGCCACACCATAAAACAGCAATAAGTCGGTCTGAGGCAAAAGTGAACCTCATGGCTTTTCCATATTTTCCCCTATTGACATCTGATTACGCACAAGTAGGTGACCAGTTCAGATTTACGCAGAGCAGAAGGAAGGAGAGAGCTCTGGTTAAACGTTCCTGCTTTAAGAAAACCGTTAAATTGCATTTTTTATGTGCTACCTGGGCACTCTAAATATTGATTTAAAATTAAATCAAAGGAAATTGTAATGGTATTGAATGTTTATTAATTACTATTTCAAAAATACATAAACATAAAAATGAAAGTGATGGGAAAAAGGTCGATCGAATTTTTTTAACCTTGTCTGTCGAGTGACTGTTTAGCGTGATGTCTGATATATATATATATATATATATATATATATATATATACATATATATATATATATGTATATATATATATGTATATATGTATATATATATATATGTATATATATATATATATATATATATATATATATACATATATATATATATATATATATATATATCAGACATCACGCTAAACACCTCTTATATATATATATATATATATATAGAGCCATGCCCTGATGTAGGGCTGGGGGGTGCGTCGACATGGTCGGGACATAGAAGGGGGTGCGCGGCTAAATACGTTTGGGAACCACTGCTGTAAAAAATACTTAAACAGGACCTGATCTCTCCATGCTGTCAACTGACCAAAAAGGTGCTCTCTTTTAGGCCCTGTTCACATAGCAAGATATTTATGCCAGTTTTTGACCCCGTTCTCCCCTTCTGGCAATCTTAAAGACACCCCTATTACTGTGATGGCTCTAAAGATAATCTTATCAGATATTCCTTCAGTGTGTGGTGTGTTGAGAGTGCTCTGGTCTGCTAAGAACGTCGAGACCACCCCGACTGTAAATCAAAGCTATTAAACGTGTTGGAATGTCTTGCCCCATTTCAAGGACAAACAAGCCTGCATCCTGTTGAATGTGTCATGTAGCCAATCAGAAAGCTCACTGCATGTTCATCTGCTACCCCTTTTGTTTAAGCTGAAGTCACCTTCAACCACAAAAAGGTTTTGCTAGATTTCTCATCAACAGTAAATGTTTGTGAGTCATATCGGTTCGTGTTTATGACCAAAACCGTAGTATTCATGATTTTTTTAAACACACCTGTGGAGTCTCTTGTTTAGAAATCCTTCCCATGTTCTTGCTTACAAAGTCTACTTCCCTTTTTATTTTATTTTTTTGCATTTTTATTTTTTCTTCTACAGCTATCTGTAACATTCTTTTAAAAATCAAACTGCATTTATAGATTCTGTCATGCTCTTGACATCTGCGCTACCTCAGAAACTGATTTTTCCTGACATCATCTTGTTCGAGTCTGTTTTGTTGTAGGCTAAATTTTACCAGCAGCATTCTGTCTGATCCATAATGTTCAGAGAACCGTACTCATTGTCTCTGACTGAAGGAGATGTGGCTCATGTTGGAGTTCCTGATTACGTCGGCAGACCATAGCTGCTCACTAATTTGCATGTGACCATTTAGATCAGGGGTGTCAAACTCATTTTAGCTCAGGGGCCACATTGAGGGAAATCTAGTCGCAAGTGGGCCGGACCGGTAAATTAAAAACAACTTCAGATTGTTTCCTTTGTTTTAATACAATCAATATAAAACAAGGCTGGAGCCTGAGGACAGTGTATCCAAAATAGTACAAGTACAACACCTGAAGTGTACTTGAAAATTTGGGGGAAAAAAAATATATATATATATATATATATATATATATGTGTGTGTGTGTGTGTATATATATATATATATATATATATATGTATGTATATATATATAATCAATTAAAAAAACATTCCTTAGTGATTCAAAGAGCTTACAGATCACATGGCCAGATCAGTTTCATGCAGCACTTAAAGTATATTTGACTCATTTTACTTTACATCTTTTAGCTTTCACCTTCACATCAATATCAGAAGTCACTTCCTGAGTGGCGGCCAACTTCAGGATGTGATTCAAGTTCTTGTGTGAGCCTTGAGCGCAACTTTGTTTTATTTATACTCATTACAGAGAAAACTTGCTCACAAAGATAAGTTTATTTTAACTCTACATTGTAAAGTATGAAAATAAAGTTTACACAACCATCTCGCGGGCCGGATTTAACCCGCTTGCGGGCCAGATCCGGCCCGCGGGCCGCATCTTTGACACCCCTGATTTAGATGTTCTCACATCCTGACATTCTCTGGATACTGCTTAAAAGATAATGTGACTGAATGAATGGCTCAAACCTTTCTTCTCAATATTTTTATTTCCATGGTTTTAGGTTTTGTGTGTGTGTGTGTGTGTGTGTGTGTGTGTGTGTGTGTGTGTGTGTGTGTGTGTGTGTGTGTGTGTGTCTCTTTGAATGACCTCAGTTTGGAAAAAAATATAGATCAGTTTTGATTCGATCAACAAGCTATCAGCTCATTTGACCAGAACTGAGACCAAAGTGAATGAATCTTATCTAAAAACAGCAGTGGTCACGTGATGCAAGTCTGTTCCATTAAACCGTTTTTTTTTTTTTTTTTTTTTTTTTTTGACTGAGGAAGAACAGTTTTCTCGCAAGACATCGCCTCGCAAGGCCAGGCGCTTTGGCATTGAGAAACACCCACTGACTAGTGTCAAGCAAGCTTGTAGCATCAGCCACAACTCACTGGGGGTTGAGAAGACAGAGCAGAAATGCACACACAGACACACACACACGTCCACACACACCCGTACACAAACAACATATATACCAAGTAGTATTTCTATTAGTATAACATTGTGATTTCTTAGCAAATATTCAATTTAGTAAGAGATAAACTTGATTGTCTTTATCTTAGTGAATCTATAATTAATTCAACAGGTGAACTAGTAGTAGCACATTTTATTGTATAGTATAAATTAAACTTAATTGGAAAAAATAACTAATAAACTCAAGAAATAAAACATTTGGGGATGTTAGCACAAACAGCTAAACAATAAAAAAGTTTCCTTTATATAGTTTAAAAATGTTTCATCAGATGGGAGTGATGATGATTGACTAATATATTTTATTTCCACAGACACCTTTGCCAGCAAGGTAGCAGCAGTCCAGGACACCTACGCAGATGCCTCCATCGGGAACGTGACGGGCAGCAATGCCGTCAACGTCTTCCTGGGAATCGGCATGGCCTGGTCGGTGGCAGCCATCTACTGGCACATGAAAGGGAAGTCGTTTGTCGTGCAGGCCGGCTCGCTGGCATTCTCTGTCACCCTTTTCACCATCTTCGCCTTCTTGGCCGTCTCGGTGCTGCTCTACCGGCGCCGGGCCCACATCGGAGGAGAACTGGGAGGCTCCCGGAGACACAGACTGGCCACATCAGCCTTCTTTTTCAGCCTCTGGTTTCTTTACATTCTCTTCTCCAGTCTGGAGGCCTACTGTCATATAGAAGGTTTCTAAACGGACAAGACTCAAGGAATAGGAACTTATAGAGGTTTGAATAGAATCAGTTCAGTGGTAAAAAAGAGTGAATTCTCACTGTGGAATCTGGGTCAGTCTCCGATGGTAAGAATCAACCGGACAGGCAAAGTTGGGGTTTTCAGAAGCAACGCCTCCTCTCCCCTTCCCTCTCTCCCTCAACCCCCTCTGTAAGAATGCTTGGAGGTGTGCATCGTGCCCTCTGGTGCCATCAGGCATGGTTCTTGTAGACGTTGAACGTGCACGGGTGTGCTTACAGCTGGGATTGGGTCACCATAGAGCCCAAAGGATGCCCATGCCAAGAGGTGATCCTGCATTCTGCTGGAAGAGTACAGTCTTAAGCCTGAAGAGAGCAGAGTCAATCAGAGAGCTATATTTTTCTCAACGTGTTATGAGAATGACTTTTTGGAAGAAAACAAAATAGATAAAATAAAATAAAAGCATATTTTGGGGATAAAAATGGGAGAAAAATCAATAAATGCAAGAAAAAAAGAGGAATGAAAGAACTATTTTCTGATCCTTAAAAAAACACAATTATATCTAAAATACGTTGCTGAGTGACTGTGGTATGGATTCATAGTATTTATTTTTATTAGCATAATTTCTTAAGGAGCACTGCGGAGTTCTCAGAAATCACAAAGGCAGAGCGATGATGAGGAGCAGACATCACACCGGCAGACGCATCACCGCTCAGACGAGTCAGGAGGAAAATCTGGACACGTTCAAACTGCCCTAGACATTACTTCCTTACTCTAAATGTATCTATATATAATATATTTCCATATTTTCTGTATATTTTGAATATTTGTTTAAATGTGGTCTTCTCTATCAGAGGATCGCTGTGGAGAAGAGGGGTAGGCTGGGGGAGGGTGGGGGGTCGTCTTCACCTTTTTAAGAGTTGTGTATCTGGGTAAAAGTATGACATTGTGTTTTATTTATTTACTGATCTCTTCTTGGTCTCGCTCAACTTTCACCTTTTCAGTCTGAAAAAAATGTGTTGCTGCAGAAATCAATTCAGAGGTATTTTTTTTTACCATTTCTTCCATGCACTTTGCTGTGTAGTTCTACTTAAGGAGACTTCTACTTGTTCATGTGCAAAAGGCCAATGTTCAAGTTGTCATTGTGGACTGAACAGTGCCTGTGGAGGAGGAGGAGGACGAGGAGGAGGAGGTGTTGGCTGCAGCTGCCTACTCTGGCTCTTTAATGGTGAAGAAAATGGAACCCTGTCCAAAAAGCATCGAAAACTATTTTAAAGCTGCACTGATTAAATGTTCCGGCTCAATAATGGAGTCAAACACCCAAAACTTTGACCTAAAGTTGTCAGAGCTTTTAATACGTCTCAATATTTGTCACATTAACTGCGTTAGAGCCATTTTTGTGTTTGGTAATGTTGATAAGCTGTGGTGGCCATCTTTAACAATGCTGATTCCAAGTTTTAAAAAATTTTCAAAGTCCCCAGAGTGTCCTTTGTGCTTCGTTTTGGGCTGCAGAAGAAAGAAGGAAAACTGTGCATGCACTAAAAAAAAGATTCTTGGCCTTAGTTGTCAAATTAAAAAACTAAAGTTTTTATGTAAAATTTAACTCTAATCTATAAAATCGCAACAGTTATTTATAAAATAGTCAAATAAAATAAAGTCTAATTGACTTTATTTAGAAATATTACACAGAAAATGTACATGTAATTAAATTAAAATGCAGTCTACTTTTTTGGCCGACCCGTTTTTCCAGACTGTGTGGGCAAAACATTATTTTTCCCATTTCAGATGTTCATTTTCAATTAATGCAGCATTATTTGTGACTTTAAAATTATTTTATTCCTGTATCTTTTTACATTCTTTCTTTCTCCTTGTAAAAGTACAAAGATGTGTGGGTGTCTCCCTGATGCTCTTTTTGGATTGTTGCAATCATTTAAAACTACACTCCCACTGAACTGTTTTTAACAGTGTTTTTATTTTTAAAATAAGAAAAAAAAACTCCAGTGCAAACCAGAAAATGTCTGTTAATTTGCATCAAATTCATAAATAATTAATTTATATTCTTTTAAACCAAAAAAGTGGGTAAAATAAGGGGTGTCAGTGTCCAGTCCTGTGGTTGCACCTCCTTCTCCCCTCGGTCCTCCTCCCTCTCCTCCCAATGTTCTTCCTTTGTGGTGAGCAGTGGTGTAAATACGTCTCGTGGCTGACGTGAATGCACAGTTGCTGTCCCTGGACCACACCTGTTATCCTCACTATCTCTCTCTAAAGGAAACAGTCATGTGTGCTGCTGTGCAGGAGGAACAACGGTTAGAGAGTGAGGCACGACCAACAAGATGTACATAAACTCAGCGTAGGTGTCCTGAGTGGTGCTGAGGGGCGAGGCACGACAACATTCAAGTCACGCTTCATCAGGTTTTTCTGTAGCCGATTCTTCTGAGCCAGTAAAAGTGTGGGGTTTTTATGATTCACAGCATAATTTTGTTACCTTTTTTTTATGTGTGTTCAAATCCTGGAAACATTTAGCGTTAGGGAGTAATGTTCTTTAATTCCATCCATCTAATTTATTCAGTTGAATACTTGGTTTTATTAGCAGGGAGGCAGTTGTCGGTGTGTTTGTGAGGCGAGCATGTTGCCACGGTGAAGTCAGGCATCTTCTCTGCATTCATGCGCATGGTTGATGTCGTTATTGATCTTCACAAGGGGCACAGCTCAGTTCATCATTCAGTACTAAAGATGCGTGTGTTAAGCCTGAGCTACACTGTGCATTTTCCGGCCGTCCTAAACAAATCTTTCGTTGGGAACAGAAGTGTGACAAATAACTGTGAATGTACAAGTCTGTGGCTGTCCAATGTTACTGGCTCTGCAAAAGCTTAATGAGCACCCTCACAACCAAAGTCAGCATCCAACAGTCTTCAAACACTACTAGATAACCTCCCGTCTGCAATCGACCAATAAAAATACACGCAGGTATTGACGCGAACAGCTAGTGACGAGAGTAGAATTAACAATCTCAAGCTACACGCAGCAACATGTGAACCACTCCTTTTTGGCATTTGAGTTTGGAGACTAAGTGTTAACTATGCCGCATTTTTTCTCTTTTCAGCATTGTTATTTTGGTCAGCTCTTAGCTATTAGTGACATATGCTTTTTGGGGGGTGTGCTTGTGACATAACATGTCCCGCTAGAGCGAGACGTAGTGCAGTTTGGCTCGCTGAAATCTGACGGTATGTGCCCCCTTTCTCACGGAGCGATGAGCAGTCCTGTGCGACAGCCGAAAAACGCAGTGCGGTTCGGGCTTTAATCCCAGCCAGCATTCATAAGTGGGTCCCTTATGCATGTATATGGCAAACTGTATGGGTGCCAATAGAGTTTGTCCGCCGTTTCCATGGTGGTCCCACAAGGGCTTTCAGGGGGGATGCAGATGGTTTGACTAATACATTGGCTCGTAGGTCTATGTAGGTACATCTTTCTGGGGCCACCATGGAAACCATGGACAAACCCTGTTGTCACCCATACAGTTTGTCCATATACATCCATAAGGGGTCAACCTTTGCATGCTGTTTGGGAATCTTTTAAAAGAAAGAAAACAAACCTGAAGGTCTTACTATAACCCCTCCTTTCCACCGGAGCCATCAGCAGCACTTTACTGCAGGAGCACATCATGGCTGCTGATAGGAACCGCTGTGGTCAACAGAACCTTTTCCATCGGAGCCGTCAGCAGCGCGAGTCGGCCGCGTCTCAGGAGCAGCTTGTCGTGGCCCTAATGCACCGGTTCTATTTTCTACACGCTACGCCTCTGAAACGGGTCAACTTCGACATTTTGGGGGAAGGAAAGACAGGAAATCGGACGCGGAAACGGAACGAAGCTTTGCGAGATTTTCAGAATAAAGAAACATACTGCCTTCCGGTTACTTTACTTTAAAAAAAAGTTATCACCTATCTAGCTGTCTCCTTTTTTTTCCATAATGGATGACGAAAGGTTGATTACTGAAGTGGAGAAGTACCCAAGCCTGTTTGATCCCAGTCACAGTTTTTATAAAGACAACGTCAAGAAGGATAAAGCATGGAGTGACATATCTGCGGTTTTGGGGCAAGATGGTGAATTTATGCTAATTATTATGTTGTAGTTTTCTCCTGCTTGTTGTTGTGTTTACTGATGAAGTCACGCATGATTTTGCTAATGTCACGTGACTTTGTGCTCTGTCGGTGACAGCTGCTCCCCTGCTGCTTCGCGTCTCGTGGGGAAGGCCAAGCAGCAGCTTACGCGAGCAAGACGTGCTGCTGCAGTAACGTGCTGCTGACGGCTCCGGTGGAAAGGAGGGGTTACTTTAGCTTCATTTTGTCGCATTGGTGAGATTGAAACTAAACACCACTGTGCAGTAACTATTGAGAAGTTTAAATGTTTTCTTTTTAACTTTGTTATTGGGTAACACAAAAGGGGCACGATGCAATGGACGAGTATGTTCTGTTGGCCTGCTATGAGACATCAAAATTTATAACAAGCAAAAGTTCCAAAGCTGATGTTTGGGATCAAACTGTTTTCTTATTTTTCTGACAAATCAAAAAAGAAATGCAAAAAGATGAAATCCACTTTGTGTGTCACAAGAAACACTGAAACAGCTTCAAATCTTTGTCCGTTCAGTGCATCCTGTCCCCTGTACCTTTGCTTCTATAGAGTTCTCTCTATCGTGTATTTTTAGAATTTTGACAAATTTTACCAACAAACCAAAAGCCTTGATGACTATGAGAATAGAACATTTAAAAAATGTTGCCATGTGGGTTTCACTCAAGTCTAAATCTGTCTGTGAATGCTAACTGCTGTGGAAAAAGCACAACGTCGGACACATCACAGGATTTTCTTCAGCTCACAGATTGCCTGATTTTTGTGGTTTCATGTCCTTTTCAAAGCACTGCAGACGGGCGTCTTTGTTTACATTTTGCAAACTTTAGAATACTCAAAAATCTGAATTTTTAATTGCATCTCTTAGCCAATAAATCCAAAAAGCTGCAGCAAAAGCATCTATGGCATCAAAAGTGATGTTTTATATCTTAATTTTTTTATTTTATTTTTTTTCTAAATTTTCTTGGACTCTAGTCATTCTATAACCACTGAAATTGTAATTTTGTTTTAATAGTCAAATTTCAAAGTTTTCACTTTGTGGGAAACAAACTCTAGTTTGAGCAAAATACCAATATGTTGAAAATGACTGAAAAAAGTTCAGTTTTTAAACTTTTTCTAACTCACTCAGTACATTTTAATTTTTGCTTATTATCTCATAAATGTACTGTCTTACCATATCTTATTTAACCCACCACGCATACGTTTCTCCAAGGTTTCCTATTTTTAGCACTACACTTTAGATTATTTGGGAGGATAACTGATTTGTTTCTCTGTGTTTTATTGTGCAACATATTTTAATGTCTCTTGTAAACATTTATTTATTGAAAACGATCTAAAAGAATTGAACTAAAGTCATAAATTTTATTTAATGCAATTTAAACCTGTTTCATATCATTTTATAAATGTGGGGAAGTCATTCAACGTGCTGTTTCATCATTTGGGCCTAAAAAGGTCTCGTTATTGTTTAAGAACTTTGTTCTTTTTTCCTTTTAACTACAGCTTAAGAAACTCAAACGTATGGATTATAATTTTTTTTATTGGCTGTTTGAACTGATTTCTGCCAGGAGAAAATGACAAAGAGCGCTAAAGGTTGATGCATTGTGCTTTCTCATTGTCTTCTCTTCTCAAATTGTTTTCCATCTTTTATTGGTGCCAGTTTTACGGAGTTCATTTCCAACCTGAATTTGTTGCTCTGATCTTTGACATTGTGAGTAAATTGTGGTTCACCTCAGTTCAAACACACCATATTCCTTTTTGACGTCATTAAAACGAAGGGGACTGTTCATTTGATAGCTTGTTATGTTAACTTTTGTCACTCCTTGCAATGAATTCTGTTGTTTGTTTCAGGAAATTGTGCATGGAATTTAAACCTTGATTTGAATGTTTTGATTAAGTTTGGTTCATTTTGTTTTTGAGGGGGTGTGACAAGTAAATAAAAGATGCTATTTGAGTAAAAGAGAGCATGTTTGTTTTTAAGTGATGTAGAAAAAGTTAGGACCACCTGGGAGGAATTAAATTAGGTGGAAGTGTCAAGAATAAAGTCAAATTGTGAAAAGGCGAAAATGTTGTGGGGAAAAAGAAAAAGAATGCAGAAGGCAGACAGACTGAGCACTCCACCAGCTACTACTACATTTAATCTCAGCTTGTCGTAGACATCGTCTTCCTCTGCTTATCCGGGTCCGGGTCACAGGGGCAGCATCCCAACTAGGGAGCTCCAGACCGTCCTCTCCCCAGCCACCTCCACCAGTTCCTCCGGCAAGACCCGAAGGCATTCCCGGACCAGATTGGAGATATAACCTCTCCAACGTGTCCTGGGTCGACCCGGGGGCCTCCTGCCGGCAGGACATGCCCGAAACATCTTCCCAGGGATGCGTCCAGGAGGCATCCTGACCAGATGCCCAAACCACCTCAACTGACTCCTTTCGATCCGGAGGAGCAGCTGTTCTACTCCGAGTCCCTCCCGAATGTCCAAGCTTCTCACCCTATCTCTGAGGCCGCTTGTAATCGTGATCTCGTTCTTTCGGTCGTTACCCAAAGCTCATGACCATAAGTGAGGATTGGGACGTAGATCGACCGGTAAATCGAGAGCCTGGCTTTCTGGCTCAGCTCTCTCTTCACCACGACAGATCGGCTCAGCGTCCGCATCACTGCAGATGCCGAACCAATCCGCCTGTTGATCTCCTGATCCCTCCTACCCTCACTCGTGAACAAGACCCCGAGATACTTAAACTCCTCCTCCTTGAACCGTCACCTTATCGTGGTGGAGGAGTTTGAGTGCCCTAATGATCCTAGGAGCTATGTTGTCTGGGGCACTTTGTGCCTCTGGTAGGGTCTCCCATGACAAAAGGGTCTTAGGTGAAGGGTGAGACAAAGAAAAGTTCAGAAGATCTTTCATGGATGTTAAAACAAAGAGTCGGAATACCCGGCCAGGAGGGTTACCGGGGTCCCACCCTGGAGCCAGGCCTGAGGTTGGGGCCCGTGAGCGAGTGCCTGGTGGCCGGGCTTTCACCCATGGGGCCCAGCCGGGCCCAGCCTGAACCGGATACATGGGCTCATCCAACTGTGGACCCACCACCCGCAGGAGGAACATGAAGGGTCCGGTCCAGTGTGGATCAGGTGGCAGACCGAGGCGGGAGTCTTGACGGTCCGATCCCCGGACAAGGAAACTGGTAATTGGGACATGGAACATCACCTCGCTGACGGGGAAGGAGCTTGTGGCAGAGGTTGAGCGGTGCCGGCTAGATATAGTCGGACTCACCTCAACACATAGCATTGGCTCTGGAACCCGAGACCTGGAGAGGGGTTGGACACTCTCTTTTGGTGGAGTTGCTCCGGGTGAGAGGCGAAGGGCTGGGGTTGGCTTTTTGTTAACCTCAAGACTCTCTGCCTGTGTGTTGGGGTTTATCCCGGGGGACAAGAGGGTAGCGTCCCTGCGCCTTCAGGTCGGGGAATGGGTCTTGACTGTTGTTTGTGCTTATGCGCCAAATATCAGTTCAGAGTACCCACCCTTTTTGGAGTCCCTGGGACAAATGCTAGATAGTGCTCCATCAGGGGACTTCATTGTCCTGCTGGGGGACTTCAATGCTCACATGGGCAATGACAGCATGACCTGGAGGGGTGTGATTGGGAGGAACGGCCCACCTGATCTGAACTCGAGTGGTGTTTCATTATTGGACTTCTGTGCAAGCCGCAGTTTGGCCATAACGAACACCATGTTCAAACATAAGGATACCCATCGGTACACTTGGTACCACGGCAGCCTAGGTCACAGGTCGATGATAGACTTTGTAGTCGTATCATCTGACCTGCGGCCGCATGTTTTAGACACCCGAGTGAAGAGAGGAGCGGAGCTGTCCGCTGATCACCACCTGGTGGTGAGTTGGATCAGATGGCAGGGGAAGATGCCGCGTAGACCTGAAAGACCCAAACGCATAGTGAGAATCTGCTGGGAACGCCTGGCAGAAGAACCTGTCAAGACGGTCTTCAACTCCCACCTCCGGCAGAGCTTTGACCGCTTCCCGAGAGCAGTGGGGGACATTGACTCCGAGTGGGCCTTGTTCCACTCTGCGATTGTTGAGGCGGCTGTTGCTAGCTGTGGTCGCAAGGTGGCTGGTGCTAGTTGTGGTGGCAACCCCCGTACCCGCTGGTGGACACCAGAAGTTCGGGGCGCCGTCAGGCTGAAGAAGGAGGCCTACAGGGCGTGGCTGGTCTGTGGGTTTCTGGAGGCAGCAGATGGGTACCGGATAGCCAAGTGGGGTGCAGCAGTGGCAGTTGCCGAGGCAAAATCTCGGGCGTGGGAGGACTTTGGTGAAACCATGGAGACCATCGATCGGCGCCAAAGAGGTTATGGCAAACTTTCCTGCGCCTCAGGAGAGGGAGGCAGCAACTTGTTCACACTGTTTACAGTGGGAATGGGGAGCTGCTGATGTCAACTGGGGCTATAGTCGGGCGGTGGAAGGAATACTTTGAGGAGCTCCTCAATCCCACCTACGCGCATTCTGAGGAGGAGCCTGGGCCGGGAGACCTGGGAATGGACTATACAATCTCTGGGGCAGGAGTTGCTGAGGTAGTCAAACAACTACACAGCAGCGGAGCCCCGGGGGTGGATGAGATTCGTCCTGGGTATCTCAAGGCTATGGATGTCGTAGGGCTGTCGTAGTTGACACGTCTCTGCAACATTGCATGGTCATCGGGGACAGTTCCTGTGGAGTGGAATACCGGGATGGTGGTCCCCATCTTTAAGAAGGGTGACTGGAGGGTGTGTTCCAACTATAGGGGGATTACACTCCTCAGCCTCCCTGGAAAGGTCTACTACAAGGTACTGGAGAGGAGGGTCCAATTGATAGTTCAATTCAATTCATCGTCGTCGTCGTCTTCCTCCGCTTATCCGGGTCCGGGTCGCGGGGGCAGCATCCCAACTAGGGAGCTCCAGGCCGTCCTCTCCCCGGCCTTGTCCACCAGCTCCTCCGGCAGGACCCCAAGGTGTTCCCGGACCAGATTGGAGATGTAACCCCTCCAACGTGTCCTGGGTCGACCCGGGGGCCTTCTGCCGGCAGGACATGCCCGAAACACCTCCCCGGGGAGGCGTCCAGGAGGCATCCTGACCAGATGCCCAAACCACCTCAACTGGCTCCTTTCGATCCGGAGGAGCAGCGGTTCTACTCCGAGTCCCTCCCGAATGTCCGAGCTCCTCACCCTATCTCTAAGGCTGAGCCCGGCCACCCTACGGAGTAAACTCATTTCGGCCGCTTGTATCCGCTATCTCGTTCTTTCGGTCATTACCCAAAGCTCATGACCATAGGTGAGGATTGGGACGTAGATCGACCGGTAAATCGAGAGCCTGGCTTTCTGGCTCAGCTCCCTCTTCCCCACGACAGATCGGCTCAGCGTCCGCATCACTGCAGACGCCGAACCAATCCGCCTGTCGATCTCCCGATCCCTCCTACCCTCACTCGTGAACAAGACCCCGAGATACTTAAACTCCTCCACTTGAGGTAGGACCTCTCCCCCGACCCGGAGGTGGCAAGCCACCCTTTTCCGGTCGAGAACCATGGTCTCAGATTTGGAGGTGCTGATCCTCATCCCAGCCGCTTCACATTCGGCCGCGAACCTACCCAGCAAGAGCTGAAGGTCAGAGCTGGATGAAGCTAGGAGGACCACATCATCCGCAAAAAGCAGGGACGAGATTCTCCTGCCACCAAACTCGACACACTCCACACCACGGCTGCGCCTAGAAATTCTGTCCATAAAAGTGATGAACAGAACCGGTGACAAAGGGCTGCCCTGGCGGAGTCCAACCCTCACTGGGAACAGGTCCGACTTACTACCGGCTATGCGGACCAAACTCACGCTCCTCTGGTAAAGGGACTGAATGGCCCTTAGCAGAAAGCCACCCACCCCATACTCCTGGAGCGTCCCCCACAGGGTGCCCCTGGGGACACGGTCATAAGCCTTCTCCAAATCCACAAAGCACATGTGGATTGGTTGGGCAAACTCCCATGCCCCCTCCATCACCCTTGCAAGGGTATAGAGCTGGTCCACAGTTCCACGGCCAGGACGAAAACCACATTTCTCCTCCTCTATCTGAGATTCAACTATCGATCGGACCCTCCTCTCCAGTACCTTGGAGTAGACCTTTCCAGAGAGGCTGAGGAGTGTGATCCCCCTATAGTTGGAACACACCCTCAGGTCACCCTTCTTAAAGATGGGGACCACCACCCCGGTCTGCCACTCCCTAGGAACTGCCCCCGATGACCACGCAATGTTGTAGAGACGTGTCAACCATGACAGCCCTACAACATCCATAGCCTTGAGATACCCAGGACGAACCTCATCCGTCCCCGGGGCTCCGCCGCTGTGTAGTTGTTTGACTACCTCAGCAACTTCTGCCCCCGAGATCGGACAGTCCATCCCCAGGCCTCCCAGCTCTGGTTCCTCCTCGGAATGCGCATTGGTGGGATTGAGGAGCTCCTCAAAGTATTCCTTCCACCGTCCGACTATAGCCTCAGTTGACGTCAGCAGCTCCCCATCCCCACTGTAAACAGTGTGAGCGAGTTGCTGCCTTCCTCTCCTGAGGCGCCGGACAGTTTGCCAGAACCTCTTTGGAGCCGATCGATAGTCTTTCTCCATGGCCTCACCAAACTCCTCCCACGCCCGAGATTTTGCCTCGGCAACTGCCACTGCTGCACTCCGCTTGGCTATCCGGTACCTGTCTGCTGCCTCCGGAGACCCACAGACCAGCCACGCCCTGTAGGCCTCCTTCTTCAGCCTGACGGCTCCCCGAACCTCTGGTGCCCACCAGCGGGTACGGGGGTTGCCACCACGACTGGCACCGGCCACCTTACGACCACAGCTAGCAACAGCCGCCTCGACAATCGCAGAGTGGAACAAGGCCCACTCGGACTCAATGTCCCCCACTGCTCTCGGGACGTGGTCAAAGCTCTGCCGGAGGTGGGAGT